CATAATTTGTAACGATCATCGTTGAGCCAGGCCTTAACGAATTTTCGTTTCGGTAATTTCGTATTTTCGCATGTTTCCATATCGACAGAATACAGTGAAATATAGATAGATAGAAAACGAGAATGGAAAAAGATGTGCAAGAACGAAGGAAGAATAAAGAAAGATATAGAAATGCACGAAGAAAAATAGATACAGAGAAATGAGAAAAGAAATTAAAACAGATGTAAAAAGAAATGGAAAAGAAAGAAATTATAAAGAGTGAAAATACCAGAAATCTTTGTCACAGCGCAGTAGTCCAGAAAACAAGCGATCTCGAAGACAGCTCGACGCTTTGTGACGGTAGATGCGTGCTCGTTAGACAAAAGCGTTCCGCGAAAAACAAGTGCGAGCCGATCACAGATGTACGAGATAAGACGGCAAAAAACCGCCCAAACATCGCGGGCGCTTAAACATCTTAAAATCATAGCTTATAAAATAACTTATGAGTGATACATATTTTTTTAAATGTGTATTGTTTTGTTATATATGTATATATATGTATATGTATATGTATATATAAAAAAAAAAATATATATATATATTACTTATTTATTAATATCGTTGTTATTGGTAACTTTGGGGGGCTGTTGCCTCTCTTATAATGGCGTGATCGGTTGCTCGCGGGGAGGGTGAAATGACACTCGCTGTTTCTTTTAGTTCTTACATAACGATAAACAGTTTATTTATGTGTGTTACAGTGTATGTTAATGTGTGTTAACAGTTTATTTATGGGTGTGTGTGTGGGAGTGTATGTGTGTGCTTTTGGGAATTATTCCCGCCGCCTTATGGCTCGTCGAGCCGCCGCGTTCAGTCCCTTGCTAGGGGGGTGACGCGTTCTTCTCCGCTGGGGACCACCAGAGTCCGGCGTCCTGTTCTCCTTGTTCTCGTGTCCGCTCGTGTGACGTGGTGATATGGGTCGTCGGACCCGAATGTCGCCACGAGCCAGAGGAGCCGCTGTAGGGCGAGTTAACGTCTGCTGCGGGAGCCAGACGTGGTGGAGCTTCCACTGCGTGGGGACGACGACGTTAGTTGCCGCTGACGCGGGCGCTGAGGGAGAGCGGGGAAGGCGTCCCAGCCCGTGTTAGTGAGGGTGTCCGCGGTCGTGGTGATCGACCTGACGGCCTCCTTGCCTCTGCCTTGGCTGCCTGGGTCTCTGGGGAGCTGTCCCCGAAAAGTTGGTTCAGGCGTTGTCTTAGGCCCTTGCTCTTAGGCGTGTGGGCTGGTGCCCGCGCCGAGGAGCTGGCCGATTGTCCCTTCTTCGGCGTAGTGGATGGTGTTGACGCCTCTTCGGCGTCAGTGGCCTCGTTGCCGCTTATACAGCGGACACGCTTTTCAGCGCGAGGAATCGCTTGTGCAGCGGACGCGCTTTGCAGCGCGAGGAATCGCTTCTGCAGCGAATGCACTTTTCAGCGCGATGTATCGCTTATTCAGCGAACGCACTTTTCAGCGCGATGTATCGCTTATTCAGCGAACGCACTTTTCAGCGCGATGTATCGCTTGTTCAGCGAACGCACTTTTCAGCGCGGAGCACCGCTTGTACAGCGGACGCACTTTTCAGTGCGAGGGGTAGCGCCTAAAGGTGCTGTTTGTATAGCTGCCGGTACTATGGCTGTTAATAAAAGTCACCTGTAGTGACCAGTGCAGCGGAGTGCGAGTGTGTCCGACCACCCGCTTGATCTGACTTTTATTGTCTCTTAGTTGCGATTTTCTCGCGAGAAAACCCCCCCGCGAATGCGCCACCGAATGGCGTTGCGCGAAGGCTGTCGCGGTTGTGTGGCGGCTCGGCGAGCGGCGGCGGCTCGGCTAGCGGCTCCGCGCTTGTGTGCGCGGATCTATATCGATCCGCCACATCACCCCCTTCGTTGTTTAAGAGCTCCTGGAGAGAAACGAACCGTTGGGCGTGATACACTGCCGCTTCTCGTCTTGATTCCCTCTTGCTGTTTTTCTGGCTCTTCCATTGTCATGAGGGGCTCTTGCATGGTTGTGTCCGTCTCATTTGGCGCTGTTGCTAAAATGTATGCTGGTTTGAGACGGTCTATCCTGACGTTTATCGTTTTCTCTTTTATTTTTAGCGAGAAGAATTTCTGTGTCCTCGCGAGTACTTCGTAGGGGCCATTGTACGCCGGTTGCAACGCTCGAGTTGGTGCGTCCTGTCGTACGAAGACGTGTGACGTTTCTTCGAGGTTTTTCTGTGCGAAGATTGCGGGTAGGCCGTGGCGTTTTACTTGCTGCGGCCGAATATTTCCCATGGTTCGTCGCAATCTTTGGACAAAATCGCTGCAGTCTTGACTTTCCTTAGAAGTGGTTTCCTGGAGGAATTCTCCCGGCAACCGAATGGTCTCACCGTACACCAGTTCGGCTGGGGTCGTTTTCAGGTCCTCTTTAACGGCTGCTCGAATTCCCATGAGTACAACCGGGAGAGTATCTACCCAGCTTTCTGTTTGGTGGCATCTGATGGCAGTTTTTAGTTGCCGGTGGAAACGCTTCACCATGCCGTAGGCTGCTGGGTGATACGCCGTTGTCCGCCAATGCGTTGTCCAAGTGAGTCGGGTGAGTTGTCGGAACAACTCGGCTTCGAACTGTCGGCCCTGGTCGGTAGTGATTCTGACAGGTGTCCCGAACCTTGCGATCCAGCTTGTGAAAAGATACCGTGCGATAGTTTCTGCAGAGATATCTGGCACCGGAATGGCTTCTGGCCATCGCGTAAAGCGGTCCACGATAGTGAGACAGTAGCGGTAGTTTCTGGATGAAGGCAAGGGTCCCACGATGTCGATGTGAATGTGCTCGAATCCTTGAGTGGGCGTCGTGAATGTTCCGACCGGCGATTGTACATGACGATGTACCTTGTTCCGCTGGCAGGGTATGCATGCCTGTGCCCATCCTCTGCAGTCCTTTTCGATGTTTGGCCAGATGTATCGTTGTGATACTAGCTTCGCCGAAGCTTTTACTCCAGGATGTGCTAATCCGTGCAGGGACTGGAAAACCTGCTGCCGGAATGCTTTTGTTACAAACGGTCGAGCCAGCTGTGTGGAGGTGTCACAGGTGATTTTATGCTTTGATCCTGGAATTTGTAGTTTCTCCAACTTGAGAGCGGTTTGCTGCTGTTGTAGTTCTTGCAGTTCTGCATCGCTCTCTTGCGACTTGGCGAGTTCTTCGAGACTAACCCCTTGCTGAATGCTTTCCACTCTGGACAACGTGTCGGCTACGACATTTTCCTTTCCGGAAATATGCCGAATGTCTGTTGTGAATTGTCCGATGTACGCGAGGTGACGTACTTGTCGTGGTAAACTGTGTAGGGCGTCCTGTTGAAACGCATAGACGATCGGCTTGTGATCAGTGTAGATCGTGAATATAGGGCCCTCCAGCATATGCCGATAGTACTTAACTGCCGCGTCGATTGCTAGTAGCTCTCTATCGTAGGGGCTGTACTTTGTCTGAGCAGGGTTCAGTTTTTTACTGAAGAAGGCTAGTGGTTGCCATTCTTGTTGTACCCGCTGCTGGATCACTGCTCCGATGGCCGTCTGATGCATCGGTTGTGAGCGTGATTTCGGCTGCTGGATCCGGGTGTGCCAGCAAGGTAGCCCGAGCGAGGCTTTCTTTGCACTCTTTGAAAGCTTCTTCGTAAGTAGGCGTCCATGTAATAGGCGTGTTGCTTTTGTTTTTTGGTCCGCCTAGAAGCTCATTTAATCGGGCCTGATCTTGAGCTGCCCCTGGTATAAAGCGTCTATAAAAATTGAAAGTTCCCAGGAACTGGCGTAACTGCTTGACTGTTGTTGGTTTGGGGAACTCCTTGATAGACTTCACCCTTTCGGGTGGAGGTTCGGTCTCCCGCTGGGATACCATGTAGCCTAAGAAGCGTACTTGCTGCGCCCCAAAAACGCATTTCGCCGGATTGATGAGTATGCCGTATTTTTTTAGTCTGGCAAATAGCTTCCTGAGATGCTCCTGGTGCTCTTGTTCTGTAGTAGAGGCCACCAGGATGTCATCGATGTAGGCGTAGCAGAAGTCCAAGCCGTGTAGAACTTCATTAATGAACCTTTGAAAGGTTTCTGCCGCGTTTCGTAGCCCAAAAGGCATGTATAAAAACTCAAAGAGCCCGAATGGCGTGGTGATTGCCGTTTTCGGGACATCTTCAGGGTGTGGGATCTGGTTGTAGGCTCTAACTAGATCTATGGTCGAGAAAATTTTTTTTCCTGCGAGAGTTTGCGAAAAGTCCTCGATGTGAGGAACCGGGTACTGATCGGGTACCGTGCGAGCATTCAGGCGTCTATAGTCTCCGCATGGGCGCCAAGCGTTTTCTTTCTTCTGCACCATATGTAGAGGCGCGGCCCATGGGCTTTTTGAAGGGCGGATGATCCCTTCTTTAAGCAGGAGATCAAACTCTGCTTTCGCAGTTTTTAGACGATCAGGGGCCAGTCTTCGGGGACGGCATGCTTCCGGCAGTCCTGATGTTATCTTGATGTAGTGCCTGGTGTTGTGTTCTGCTCTTGTTAGTTCCCTGCGTAGGCGGGTAATCCCCGGATATTTTGTTAAGATGCGGTGGTACAAATTTTCTTCTTTGAGAACCTTGACTGATGCCGTCGTGGCGTGGACTATAGTCCCCTGGGTTTTCAAGCCTGTTTTGCCATCTATTAACTTTCTTGTACGTAGATCCGGTAACAGATGGTAGTGGGATAAAAAATCCGCGCCGATTATTGGTTGCGATACGTTCGCTATGACAAAACGCCAAGGAAAAGATCTTTTTAGACCAAGTTTTGGTTCTACGGTGATCCATCCGTACGTCGATATCGCCGACCCATTAGCTGCGTATAAGATATAAGCTGTGGGCTGCTTTGGACCTTGGACCGCGGCACGTGGATATACGCTGACGTCAGATCCGGTGTCCACGAGGAATTCTTTTCTGGATTCCTGACAGGTGACGAAAAGGCGACGAGAAGTCTGGGTCGTGTCACTGGCCGCCATCAGTGACTCCCTCGCTCGTTTCCCGATTGGAAGTTGCACGGCTGGGTGCACTTTCGAGCGTGTTGCCCGAACTTCCCATGGTAGAAGCAGAGATGATCTCGTTTCTTCTTCTCCCTTGATTTGCTTCTGTTTCGGTTCCGTGGGTGAGGTGTTTGCTCGAGACGTCGAGCCATGGCTGCCACCTGGTTGGTGAGTTGCCGTATTTGGTGGGCCATCGGTGATGGGTCGTCTGGCGCCGTTTTTACCTCGTTAACTGAACGAACGGTGACCTCTTGTATACGATCCGCCTGTTCTGCGACGTCCTCCAGTCGGTCTTGCACTCTGGTCGCCAGAATGGCTTGAATAGTGGTTGGTAACCGCCCGAGCCACAACGTGCGTAGTAGTTGTTCGGGTACGGCATTTCCAGCGAGCGTGCGTAGGTTCCGCAGGAATTGAAAAGGCTTGCGGTCTCCCATCTCTTCGTGTTCTAGAAGTTGGCGAATCCTGTGCTCTTGTGAGGCTGACAGTCGACGGATTAAGGCAGTCTTAATCGCGAGGTATTTGTCCGTCGCAGGTGGGTCGGTGATTACGTCCTTGACCTCACGTGCGTACCTCGTGTCGATTTGCGAAAGTACATGGGCGTACTTGGTAGCGTCTTGCGTAACGCCAGCGAGCAGGAATTGTCCTTCGAGTTGTGCGAACCATAACTCGGGCTCGTTTTCCCAAAAGGGTGGTGCGCGGACGGCGACTTTGTTTATGTGTGTACCCGTTGGCTGTTCTGCCATTGGATTCATGTTTTCAGCCATGGAGCCTGTTGAAGCCCTTGTCGGCGAGCGCTCCGTTGGCATTTTCACTCACCCGCGAGGATCACGTCGGGGTCACCAGTTTTGGGGAGCTGTTGCCTCTCTTATAATGGCGTGATCGGTTGCTCGCGGGGAGGGTGAAATGACACTCGCTGTTTCTTTTAGTTTTTACATAACGATAAACAGTTTATTTATGTGTGTTACAGTGTATGTTAATGTGTGTTAACAGTTTATTTATGGGTGTGTGTGTGGGAGTGTATGTGTGTGCTTTTGGGAATTGTTCCCGCCGCCTTATGGCTCGTCGAGCCGCCGCGTTCAGTCCCTTGCTAGGGGGGTGACGCGTTCTTCTCCGCTGGGGACCACCAGAGTCCGGCGTCCTGTTCTCCTTGTTCTCGTGTCCGCTCGTGTGACGTGGTGATATGGGTCGTCGGACCCGAATGTCGCCACGAGCCAGAGGAGCCGCTGTAGGGCGAGTTAACGTCTGCTGCGGGAGCCAGACGTGGTGGAGCTTCCACTGCGTGGGGACGACGACGTTAGTTGCCGCTGACGCGGGCGCTGAGGGAGAGCGGGGAAGGCGTCCCAGCCCGTGTTAGTGAGGGTGTCCGCGGTCGTGGTGATCGACCTGACGGCCTCCTTGCCTCTGCCTTGGCTGCCTGGGTCTCTGGGGAGCTGTCCCCGAAAAGTTGGTTCAGGCGTTGTCTTAGGCCCTTGCTCTTAGGCGTGTGGGCTGGTGCCCGCGCCGAGGAGCTGGCCGATTGTCCCTTCTTCGGCGTAGTGGATGGTGTTGACGCCTCTTCGGCGTCAGTGGCCTCGTTGCCGCTTATACAGCGGACACGCTTTTCAGCGCGAGGAATCGCTTGTGCAGCGGACGCGCTTTGCAGCGCGAGGAATCGCTTCTGCAGCGAATGCACTTTTCAGCGCGATGTATCGCTTATTCAGCGAACGCACTTTTCAGCGCGATGTATCGCTTATTCAGCGAACGCACTTTTCAGCGCGATGTATCGCTTGTTCAGCGAACGCACTTTTCAGCGCGGAGCACCGCTTGTACAGCGGACGCACTTTTCAGTACGAGGGGTAGCGCCTAAAGGTGCTGTTTGTATAGCTGCCGGTACTATGGCTGTTAATAAAAGTCGCCTGTAGTGTCCAGTGCAGCGGAGTGCGAGTGTGTCCGACCATCCGCTGGGTCTGACTTTTATTGTCTCTTAGTTGCGATTTTCTCGCGAGAAAACTTCCCCGCGAATGCGCCCCCGAACGGCGTTGCGCGGAGGCTCTCGCGGTTGTGCGGCGGCTCGGCTAGCGGCTCCGCGCTTGTGTGCGCGGATCTATATCGATCCGCCACAGTAACATATATTTATAAATTTTTCAAATTATAATTTACACAGATAAAGAGGGAAGGGCGGGTTACGTCTTTAAATCTCGTGAAATGACCGAACCACGAAGTTGTTATTTTTTTCGGCTACAACACTCGCACGCAAATATACGAGCAGATCTGCATTCAGAATTATCGCCCGGATGCACCCAAATATCGTTTTATCCTTGTTCAACAATTGATAAACAAGAAGGATAAAATATGATATCTGGGTGCACCCAGGCGATGATTCTGAAAGCCCTGATAAAAAGAGTTTTGATTACAAAAAAACTACTGGAATGATGAACCACGATTTCATCATCTGTCATAACTTTTGAATTTTATCTTTTCGAGATTTATCTTTGTACCTTTTCGAATATATCCATATTATTGTTATCGCAACATTACATTCCATTTGGTTGTTATCTTTAATGCTTTAATTAATATAATGCAAATATTTACAACATGAATAATGATATTACAATACTATAATAAAATAGAAAATGCTTTTTTATTACCTTTTATATTCTGTTACACTTTTTTTATATTCCATTGCATAGTGATAAGAAAAGTGTTGAAGGTCTTTTTAAATAAATATTTTTGTAAACTTATCCAAGAATTATTACAGTAGAGTATGATTTCAGTTTACCAGAGTTAAATAAATAAATTTTTCTTTTTAATTAAATTAAAAATTAACAAAGCATACTAAACAAGTTACCGTTAAAAATAAATTATGGTTTATGATATTAATATATATGTTTATATGTATATGTACATATGTACACACACGCGCGCGCATGTGTAAATAATAAATGACACTTATGTAAAGTTATGTAAAAAGATATTTTCTAAAATAATACATTTTTTATAATAATCGATACAACAGTTGTAATAGATAACAGAGAACATTTGACAATGCTAAACTTCTATGTGCGCGGATAAAGAGAATTAAATTCAAGAGAAAAATCTTTTATTATTTTCAATTTTCGCAATAATTATTGTGCAATTCAAATTATTAACGAATAAATTTGTTGGAAAGTATAGGACGAACTATATGGATAGATATATTTATTAACATCGGCTTGGATCTGATCATTAATAATCTATATTAATGATCTATGAAAAGCGGATGCATTTATCTTTTTATTATTCTTAATATTTTGATGTTTAATATTTAATACATTTGTATGTAAATTAAATATTTGTATAATTAATAGGTGTGAGAACGAAGTGCGCGAACGACGAGAAACAACAAACAGCATAAGCATAAGTTTCACGCCGGCCGTCCGCTCTCTCTTTTCCGAGCATGCATCTGCTGCATCTTTCTTCCTCGAAAGATAGCTATAGTGTACGAGACCGACATATATTATAGCTTGGTCGAAGCGCGTACACGGCTGCTTGCCGTATACGCGTATCCTCTCCTGCGCGCCACTGTCGAGCCGCCGCTCACGGACTCGGTCGCTCGCTGTGTGCGTGGCCTACATCATGCTGTAAGCGGAGTAAAACTGCACACTGCACGGGGGTCGCGTCCGAACCGAGGATGCCATCGACGGAGCCGTCCTAACCGGCGACCGTTCTAACCGTACCATACTCATCCACGGAGCGCCAACCGTCCGAACTCGGGCGAAATTCCGAGGCGCCTGACCTGAGGATGCAGCAGTCTGAACCGAGGAGAGAAGCGGAGGAGCGACTTGACGACAATTCACGACGCCAGGAGGAGTTGCTGGCGTGCGGACGACGAGACGACCGAATTTCTCGGCGTAGAGAGTCCGTCCTGGTAGAGTCGTGGGAACTGATCGAGGACCAGGCGAGGCGTAAGGCGCCGTAGCTGAGGAAAGCACCGTTTTAGGGTTAAGAGTAGAATAAGATAGTATATAAGTAGTAGGCTAAGTTTAGGATTAAGACACCTGCCGACACAGCGTATTTTCGGATCCGAGGGGCGCGAGACGACGGAGTAGAGAGGGGCTCGTCAGGCGAAAAATTAGTAAGCGACGCAGGGAACCGTGCGAAACATGCCTTACGAGTAGGAGATGCGACACGGGTCGGCTGAGCGAGCGATGAGTCGCGAGACGATCGATGGCCGATAACAGACAGTAGACGTCGCGTAGCCACTGAGGAGAGACCCGAACGAAAGCCGAAAATAAGCGAGGCAGGCCGATTTTTCGAGGGGAAAGTCGTAGGACGATGCCAGATTCGTGCGGATGATGCGCGAAGAGTGTAAGGATCCGAGCATGCGTTGAGCGAGCGTCGATATAGATTTGAATAGCTTGCGGAGCCGAAAACCCGGCGGGCGAGAGACAAGCGACATAATAGACGCTTAAAAGTGACCGTAAAGGGTCACAAGTCACCGTCTGCGTGGCCCTCGAGCCCGCAAGTGCCGAGTAAAGTCTCACCATGTGAAGCGAGAGGTAGACCGTCCGACATATCGAGCGGAACGAATTTATTTTATCACCTGACACGTGTCGATCGGACGACTATTGATATAGTTGTGTAATCATGTACTTAAAACTGTGTAGATCGGCGAGCGACGCCATGGAAACTGAAAAGAAAGGTAGAGAGAGAAAAAGGCTCTGTGCAATACCTATATTTATCCGCGGTCGATGTTCCTGGAGGTGTCGTCCTGGATCCGGAGTCCGGGGTCGTCATTTTGGGAGAGACCGCCTGAAACAGAAAGAGTAAGGGATTAGTTAAGGGAATAGAAGTCGAAACAACGTCGTCCGCCGATCGTGCGCTATAATCAGTGAAAAATGATTTATTTATTCATTCAGGTATGATGATTGAGTGTCTTATGAGACCGCGGTGAAGATAGCGCGTGGCGTCAATGTAAAATATCTGCGAGAATTTTTATTTGCGTTATTATTAGATTTTTAGTTTATATTTTATTTTGTTTAGAGAGCGATTAAGACGCGCGCGAGCGGCAAGAGAAATATAGTCGTATCCAACATACGTCGGCGAATGGCGTTCGCAAGGGTACTATATTCTTATATATTTATACACATTTATATATATATATATATATATATATATATCTTTTTAGATTATAATAACTTTTATTTTATATTGTATCGTCAACTCGGGTGAAATCGTGGTCGCGGTCGCGGACACGGGCAACCCGCTATTTGTAAAGGGTATAGGAAGCTAAGGGAAATTCGCAACGCGGAGGCACTAGCGTTCGCGAAGTGAGGTATCGAGCGCGGATCTAGTATCTGCTTCTTTCGCTGCAGTAACAAAATAACCGCCGAAGTGCATGGACAGTATCGAGCGTATCTACGGACGACGACGACGATCTTCCCCAAGGTTTGACAAAAAACAGCAATAAACAAGGTTGGTGATACAACAGACCGGTGAGTCGGAATTAATATCCTTCCTTGATTTTCTCGTTCTCTCGTGCGAATAGGATCGATGCCGGTGACGCCGTGACAAGAACGGGTGGCGACCGTAAACCTGCGTAAAATTAAAGAAACATAAAATAGAATCTCGATAAAAAATATCACGTGAGCGTGTTAGATTATTCATTTCTTATCTGCAATCAGTGAGGTCTGGTTACAACATTACGCTCACAACGAAGGAAGAGCCGTCCAAACCAATAGCGGACGATGTTAGCAGTCCGAACCGGTGATAGACTAGAGGAAGTCGCACGAACCGCCAGGAAACATTTTTTTTTTTTTTTTTAAGGCAGAAGAAATGCATTACGCAC